AGAAGCGTGGTCCCATTGCAAATCTTGCACGTTATTGGGGAAGTTTAGTACGACACAACATATCCTTGAATTCCCCTCGTCTCCTGCATGAAGCTCTATTCGTAAACGGGGCCTTCGTTTTCTAGGACGGAGTATCACCGTGCCATGCGTCGCATGGCCGCCAGCTTGCAAGTCTTCCTGAGTTGCCAACGCTGCACTACGAACGACAGACAGAGACGTCTGATCACTCGCGAGAACAGCGGATGCGCGAGATTTGCTTGCACAGGGCACTGCGTGCCAAAACAACACCCCCAGGCCAGATCCTCTACCGCGATGGCGATCTGGTTGGTTACCACCGACCCACTACAACAAAGGATGATAGGGGCGGCTGGAACGGCCCTTACCCAGATGCGGGAAGTTGCCCCGATAGGGGCCAAGTCGTAGTGCGGGTAGGTCGCCGCGAAATAGCTGTTGAGTGTCCAGACTTACGACATGCCCTTACTTCGAAGTGCTGATGGTCCGAGAACTTGGCTCGGATTGCATCGCACTCCGTACAGTGCTTGCGTTCATCGCAAGTCTGCCTGCGTGCGGACCTGCGAGGACCTTTGGATACTCACCGACTGGGCGAGGTGACTTGCGGATGACCGTTACCAGCAAACTATCACCTATGGTGCATGTAACACTCACGTACCTGATCCGCAATTCTTTTCGGATCGAGAACGCGGTCACAGTCCGACTTGCTACATGTGTCCGCCAGCTGCCAGCTGAGCCTTATTCTGTCCCTTGGTTCACTATGACAACCATGTCACCGCATGGTTGCACGAGTGATGCAGTGGTTGAAGTCATCCGAACCCATGGTTGGTTTCGATGAGGACTTCTCGAAATTCGAAGGAAACGCGAATGTCCCCGCCCCTGGGGGTGGCGCTCAACTGTCGTCCTCGCCTGCGGGGCGTCCACCTACGAGTCAAGAAGAATCAGTTGCCGACCTAGAGGCTTATGTCCTCGAAGCTAGGTAATCTGAACTCTATGACGAACACGCGCAAGCATCTTGTGACTGTGCCGCTGGAACCACTGTGCATTGCCCACAACGATGATCTCAGACCAGTCGGTCTTGATCGCAGTTGCGAATGACGACCCAGACGCCCGACATCGCGGAGGCGCACGCTACTACAGCGCAGATGTGTATCACGTCTCCATCACCCCGCATTACGATGATGACTATACCCTTGACAGTGGCCCCCAGTGCCAATCTATAGAATTATGCTTCACCGCTGACATGGCCAAGGGTTCTCACGGAACATCAGTGGAATCTACTATGCACCGGTAGCATCACCAGTTTGCGGGCATGTGTCTCTGCAGCCGCTAAACGAGCGGTGGCAGAAAAGGAAGACGACCTGTCCTCCAAAGCGGAAATCCATTCTCATGCTGCCCAGGTAGGACAGACATTTTACACAGTTAAATAATTGGCTCGACAGCAAATGCTTTAAGATAGCCTCTCCCACGGACGCCTCAAACGTCATGGCCTCGCGTTATGTGTGCAAGTGGACATTCGTCAACAAACGACAAAACAGAGATGGTCAAGAAAATCCGTCTTCGTCTTGTCCAACGAGGTTTCATGGACGTAGAAGCCTTCGGCATTGAAATCTTCTCGGGGACAACTAGAAGGTCAAGCGAGCGCCTGCTGGTCAGCGAGGTTGGGCATGTACCCCTGATTGGATTATCGTGTCTATGGACGTAGACAGGGCGTTCCTGATTCGGCTCGCCTATCGTGAGCTTGCTCAGGCCGCGGGAGCGCGGGAACGTACAGCTTGCTTCGCACTTCCACCAGGTTCGAGACGCACGGCGAAAGCAAGCACTGCTTGCAGTGCCTTAAGCCAGGTACTGGAACGAAGGACGCCCCGCGCGACCTCTCCTTGAAGCTGCGCAACATCGCGCGCAACGATGGCCTGCGAGCCACATCTACGACGAGGAACTAGAAGCAGCGGAGACGCTAGTGACGGCCAAACGCGTGCATCTCATCAATAGGATTGGAAAGGTGGAAGTTATTGATCGCTACGTGAGACGCGTCGAAGACACGTTTGGCGCGCGCGAACTCAGCGAATATATTTGCACCAATTGTGCTGTCATGTAAACGAGAAACGAAAACGGCGACGCGACGCTGGGTCAGGGCGAGTGCCTCGAACGATTCCGTCACATCCAACGCCCAGACCTCGCGGGTGTGGAGGCCGAAGATGCCGCCGCAAAGCCTGTGGCCGACATGTTCGTGGGCCTCCGTGGGGCATTCGCGCGTGCCTTCATGGCCCAAGTCTGGTTGATGGCATGCGTCGAATCACTCCGACTGGTGCAAGCACCTATTAGTATCCAGGTACGGCGGCTGGACGGAATCACGCGCGTGCTTCGTGCTCGACCTCAGAAGACAATCTACCCTGCTAAGCCCGCCGGAGAAGTCGATCTCCGCAGTGGCTCCTGCTACCGATGGCCTGCCGGAGACGCTGAGAACGAGGTGGAGGGCATGGCGTTCGGGGTGCCGACCTATTCCGGCGTGGACGCGCGCGTAATGGTGACCCTGTCGTGCACTCAATTTAAACTTATTGCAAGTCGTATCGCTTGCAGGTTCACGGTTAGGTGAAGCTACTCTGCGGTAGCGCTAGCAGCAGCCCGCGACGTAGAGGACTGCTACCCGACAAGTATTACCCTGCGCGAACTTCAAGCGGGACCGCTAACACCAACACAACCCAATAACATATTTACGATGAGCGTAAGGTTTCTATGCAGTAAGGTTTCTCTTGCCATTGATGCCGAACCGTGTTTTTCTGCAATCGCTGTCCAGAACAGATCCTGAGCATCTTGCTGAGTGTGCACTTTTGGGTCGCATTCGCTGGGTCAGACAGATGATGGAAATGCGTATTATACATCGCGTAAAATGGTGTGACGCGCGTGATGTGACTGCCGACGCACATACCAAAGGCAGCGTAGAACGCGATTTACTGTTACAAGTAACAGCGGGTACGCGATCCATCACGCACGAGTCGAAGACTTAAGCTCCTATAGGGCTCCGACCTCGAAGGTTGAGTCTGGCTCTAGATGAGCTGATGAGCCGGCGGAGTGCGCCTACGCTGCTTGGAGACACGCTATAAAAGGCAAGCCTTCTTGTTCAATCCTCCTTCAATCTTCCACTGCTCGCTTTCTTGGGCCTGCTTTACTAAGCCCCCGCAGGCCCGTCGCTGGCACTTGGCCAGGTCGGGGCCCGCTACGACTTTGCGGACTCAGCTTGGCGTTGGCCGGCTGTGTGCGCATTCTTTCCGCAAGCCCTTTGAGGTTTGCTGCCGCTCGTTATCCACCTCTTGATTCTGGAACAGATCAGAGGGCTGGGATCTACATATAGCGAGCGCAGCGAGCATTCCGCTGGCGTCTGGTTCAAGGCGCCGGCATCATCTTTGCTTGGGCCGCTAGAGGATCTTGTGGCCCACCGCTGCATCAGAAACTGGATATGATAAATCTTCTGCAGGATGCCCCAGTCTACTTCTTACATTCAAGCTACCATTCCACGGTGCCCCCTCCTCCTGCTCCTCCTCCTTCTCCTTTTCTAAGTCCTCCTCGTCATCTTCATCCTCACCGGCGGAATCGTCATTTGCGTTATCATCCCTCGCGTGCTTCATGCCCCCCGAGGGGGCCCCTCCGAAGGCCCCAGTGTGATCGTCGCGTGGCGCCACCGCGCCCATGTCGGCACACACGAGCCCCAAAGGGAACTTCACCGAAAGCCTTAGTGGGAAGGGTCGCATGGCCTAGCCGCGCCCATTTCGGCATACCCATCACAACTTTCGTGGCCCCATACGGATCTCCACCGAAGGCCCCAGTGGCAGGGTTCGCATGGCGCCACCGCACATATTTCGGCACATCTCTCATAAGCTTCCGTGGCTCCATCGGGGATCCCACCGAAGGCCCCAGTGGGAAGGTGCGCGTGGCTCCACCATGTTCCATTTTGGCACACCCTTCGCACGTCTCGTGGCCCCATGGGGAGGGGGAGTTCCACCGACGGCCCCAGCGGCACGGTTCGCATGGCGCCACCGCACCCATTCTGGCACACCGCTCGCACGTGCCGTGGCCCGACAAGGATCCCCACTGCATGCTCCAGTAGCAGGGTTCGCATGAACTCAGCGCAACGATGTCGGCACACTTCTTACACGTCTCGTGGCCCAATGAGGAACTGCCCCTTTCGTCTCACGTGCTGTGCGGTGCCCAGACGCATACTGTCTGGGTCCTTCGCCAGGATAGTTGTCCTACTGCTGCTGCGCCCAACTCGTGTCTGAGTGACGAAGTGGGTCTCGTCTCACTCGAGCTCGGTTCATGTCTAATATGACTGCTATGGGTACTGTTCTGCTGCATCATGTTACATGCGATCGCAACGCAACGGTCTAATGTCAAGCTTGTTTACGCCTTCCGTCCAAAATCATGATGATACAAGCGAGGAACTCACAGCCCACGCCGCTGGGGCAGAGCGCCAAGAATTGGCCAGGGCGGCCAAAGCGTTTCCTACGCCACCTCGTGTTGTAAAGTGAGTTGAAACGATCAGCCCCTGCGCTATCATCTTGGCAGCGGCGGCCACCCTGAGCCCCCGCTCCCGGGCCTTGGCTTCTCTGTCCTCCCTGGAACGCCACCGTGGGCGGGGCACGACCGGGGCCCACGCCACGGGGGTCGAGCGCTGACCCCCTCCGCGGTCCTCTGGCTGGCCCAGGAGGAGGAGGAAGAGAAGGAGGAGGAGGAGGAGGAGGAGGAGGAGGAGGAGGAGGAGGAG